CAGCCTGGGCTCCAAAGTGAGCTTAAGGCCAGCCTGAACTGCACAGGCAGATCCTGGCTCAAAAAGACAAAAAAAAAAAAAAAAAAAAAAAGTCACTCATTGAATTCCTACAACCCCTTGGCAATGTGCTAACATTTCAGAATCTACATTCGAGCTGGACAAGAGGATTTTTTCTTTGGTCTATTTAATCTTACTGCTTCATCACAGAAAGAAGAAATCTGAAGAACTTATTTGAATTTACAACTTTGAAGAGGAACAGGGATGTTTGTGGGGAAAGTAAAGTATGTTAGAGAAAACGAGAGCACAGCCTGGCTAGCCAGAAGTCAAGAGAAATGATCACATTACAAAAAATTTTGAAGAACAAATAAATACATAATCATAACGTATGAACGTCACAACACGTTGAAATATCAGAATATTTGAACATTTTTACAAGCTAATTATAATTATGTTTTAACTCATCAATAAACTGGAAGGTCAAGTTGTGATTCTGAATTAAAGTATCTTAGAGGAAAAGCAATCTTAAGAGTTAAGAATGATGTACACAGGGAAGAACAGTGTTTTAAAGGAACTTTCTGAGATCAGACATGAGAACTTATGTTTAATATTTATCTACCTTGGTATTTTGAAAGTACAGCTTTCATGGCAGATTAGAATTTGGTGGATCAGGCAGAAGAACTTAAGATTTTTAGAAAGCATCTGACAAGATTTTACGAAAGAGATCAATGACTAAGGTATAAGTCACATATAATAAAAGGCATAATAAAAGATTCAGTAAAGTGAGACTTTTGGTTAAAGATGGATGAACACAGACATCCTGCTACCTTTCTGAGTCCTGCTAAAAGTAAAGGGAGAAGCTGGGGAGGTGGCTCAGTAGAATAAGCACTTGCCTGGCAAGCTCAAGGACCTGAGTTCAAATCCCCAGTTCCACAAAAAAAAAAAAAAAAAAAGTAAAGGGAAACTTTTAACCTACAAGGTCAAATGTACAAGGACAAAAATGATGGCAGCTAGTGGAGAAAGTGAAGAAACAAGCCACCTAGGTACTTCTGAAAGCAGGCTGTGTAGTGTGGGTCTGAAATCAGGAGGAATGGCCACAAGGGGGCTGGGTGCTCAATCTTTGAGGCAGATTCTCTGGTAAAAGAGAAAACATAAAGGCTTTGGACCAGGAGAATACCAGGCTCAGTGAGAGCAGGGCCCTGTGCTGGAGACTGGGACGTTAAATTACAGCCACACAGTGCAAGTCTGAATTCTCTTCTCCCTCCTCAGATCGAGTCCCAGCAACATAATTTATAGCCCCTAAGAAGGCAATTAGGAGAAAGTTCTCTGGAATCATGTCAGCCCAGGACAGAAGACTGAAAGTGACAAGGAGGCCTGCGAGGTAACAGCTTCACCTAAATGAGCACACAGTAAAGACTGCCTTCAGGAAGCCTCTCTGTGTGCATATAAACTTCCCAGTGGCCCTCCCTCCACTGTCCCTACACAGGAACAAGCACTCAGGCCTCCTAGAAGCTTGAGGAAAGCAGCTCGTGTGACAGGGCAGGGAGGTCATATAAGCAGAAATGCATTTTTTGAAGAAAATTATGCAGAAAAAACACAAAATTTTAATAATTAGTATTTATGATAGCAGGGTTGTTGACTGCAGGAAAGATATTGTCCAGGAAAAAAAAATCACAACACAGTACATGACTCAGAGGTGAGTAATACAAGGTCATAACAAGGCAATGAGAACACTGGCCCTACTGAAGTTACGATGCACTGGGAGGGTGGAGGGAGGGAAAAGTATGACCGTGTACGCTGGGTGAGGTGGTGGGGAAGTAAAAATGTTTTAGTAATCAACAGATAATGCCTGAAACTAAAATTAAAAAAGAAGTATCAATAAAACATGCTATGTAGGGGCTGGCGGAATAGCTCAGTGGTCTAAATCTCCTGCTTAGGCAAGCTTAAGCAAGTGCACAAGGATTGTGGTTCAACCCCTAGCACCACATGCCGTGCCAGCTCTGCCCCTATGGTGGGCAGAGCCGGACACAAAAACAAACAGACAAAAAACATGTTATTTAGAGACCTGTAGGTAGAAGCCAACGTAAGGGGTGGTGAATGAGCTGAAAGCAGCTACCGCCAGATGTGAATAACTGGGAGAGAGGGAGAGAGCTGCAACAGTGATTGACAACCACCTGTCTTTTTATGCTACAAACACATACTTCCCTTATTTTTTTCTTTTTTTGTATTTTAGGGAAGGGTCTGCAGGGTGTTCAGGGTCTCACTACTAGATCGGACTCATAGTGATCTGCCTGTTTACAGCCTCCCAAGAGCTGGGATTACACATGTGTACCACCACGCCCAGTCTCAATTGCTGTCTCAGCGCACCCTGGGGGCGGGGCTGGCAAGGCAGGGCCGGGGATCAAACCTCCAGCCCCTGTGCCTGCTTGCAGGTACTTTAATCTGCTGAGCTATTTGGCCGGCCTTCACATACTTCCTTTAATATCAACTGTGATACATTATTTACATTGCATCATGAGGAGCTCCTAGTAGATGCTAAATACGGGTTGAATGAAGGCTGGCCCACAAGCATGACTGAGTGTAAGGTAAACTGACTTGATAAGTTATACAGCAAGTCCACAGAGAGGTTTATTTATGAGCCAGACTTTCCCTTATTACTCAACATCATGCAAGATGCAGACTTCCATGTTCTAGAGATTATGGGAAGCAATCTCTGGTCTTATCTCTGCCATAATGCATGGAAATGTACAGAAATTTGCTTTGACTTCCGGTTTATACTTACTCTGTGTCCAAGCAAGCTCTCCAGTTCTCTTCTAAATTCTTTAGGACAAGGTCTGTTTCTAAATTATCTTTTTATGAACCATAGGGTGTAATACTGTACCTGTTACATGTTCAGTGCAAAATACATTTTTTTTAACAAAAGAATAAATGGAGAGAAATAGTCATAGCACCAGATCTGCAGGAGAAATGATCTGGCCCTCAGCCTTACCTTTGAGACCCTCAGATCTTAGAGCTGAGTGTGACTCTCTCACCCAGGACCCAGCACCTGCTCAATCCAGAAACTTACTGTGGTTATGGACACTAGGGGGCTGCTCCTTGCGCTCGCTGACAGTACAGGAAGCAATGCAGAGGTCAGGGCCAGACATGCAGTATCTGAATTCAAGTCACACCACCTGCACTACTTAGTTGTGTACACTAGGCTAGGTGGTCAATCCCAGCCTTCCATGGGCCTAAGGGTCAGTGTGCCAAAGGTAACTAACTACCCAGTAATGTCCATTCTGCCCCCTTATAGATATTCCTTGATTTACAATGGGGTCACATCTGGATAAAGCCATTGTAAGTTGAAAAATATCCCAAATGGAAAAGACATCAATACCCTCAACTTACTGTATATTATAGCTTAGCAACACAGTATACTGCGGACCATGGGTTTCTACCCTCATGATCACATGGCTGACTGGGAACGTGGGTTTGCTGATAATGTCCAGCACTACCACAAAGGAACACCAGAGGTTGGCGAGACAGCTCAGCAGACTTCCTGCTTAGACAAGCACAGGGACCATGGTTTGATCCCCAGCACCACATGCCATGCCAGGCCTGTCCCCAAGGCATGCCGAGCTGGCCAGAGTTCAGGCATGGTGGCATATGCCTGTGATTCAAGTAAGGATCACTATGAGTCTGAGAGCTGTGTACTAGTAGTGAGACACCCTGTAACAACCAAATACATTTTTTAAAAAAGGAACAATAGGTATTACTCTCCAGGGGGAAAAAATCCAAATTCAAAATATGAGGCATGGTCTCTGACAATGTATCACTTTTGCACTATCATGAAGTAGATAATAAGTCAATATTATAGAACTTCTTATGCTTTAGGTGGACAGAGAGACCACATTTCTTAGCCTTTCTTGCAATTAGCTGGGGCTGAGTTCTGTCAGTGGACAGTGACAGAAGTGAAGTCTGCTACTCCCATGTCATCCTCCTAAAGAGAAAGGTCTTGCTTGTCATCCTTGCCCTTATCGGTCCTCTATGAACTGGTCAATCATGACTGAGGGAGCACAGTCATGATAACAGGAGCAGAAGCAATCATTTTGTGTCCAGAGACGGAAATCATGCAGGCAGAGCATGACAAAGGGACCCTACCACTCCTTGGATTAGAAATAAACTTAATCTTATTCAAGCCACTCATTCAGGTTCTGCTACAGGAGCTTAGAGCATACCACAATCAATGCAGTATTCTTGTTACACAATGATCATAACATTCAGTGGCACTGTTGAAAGAAGGAGGGGCTGAAACAGTGACACTTATTATTGTCCAGACTTGTGATCTTTATCTTAATCTGATATCCGGGTCCTGGTCTGAGTAGAATCACTAAAAGTAAGACACCTGGAGTGGCCGGATTAGTCCCAGAACAGGCACAAACAAGACTGGACAGTGCATGAGGTCAGTGTTGGCCAGCCGGCTGGTGAAACGAGGTGAAGAGCAATCTCTGTGGAAGGGGTGAGGATAGGAGTCTGTGGAAAGGCTTCATTTTCTATGAGAGTGGATGTTAGACTAGTTCCGCTCTTTAGCTTTTCATAAAAATCTTACTAAAATATCCAGATTGTGGAACTGGATCTATTTTGAGGCTGTGTTTAAAATATTAAGGTTAAGTCTTAAAAAGGAGAAAAAGCAGGAGACTCAGTACCAAGCAGCCCAAGCCCTGGCCAGGAGCTGCTGTGCTGTGGAAAGGTCTCAGAGGCCAGCCTGGGCACTGTCACCCTCAGACACTACAGAAAGGCATTGCAAGTTGGAAAAGCAGTGCTTTAGAGCGCAGACACGCAGCGCAGAAATTGCAAATACCCTAAGAGACTCTTAATTAGGCATTTGATATTTTCCTCAGTCTCTTTCTCCAAAAATAATTGGGACATTCTTCTACTGATAATAAATTTCAAAATTTACATTTCATTGGGGAGTTTTTCACATAATTAAATATCAGTTAATAAAAAAAAGTCTCAGCACTTACCCTAATGGATTATGGGCTTGGCTCTCCATGTCAGGGAACTACATCAGTTTCCGTTTCTTGATTTTTAATCTGTTAGGGAAATAATGAGAGTCCTAAAATGGTTAGATTCCTAAGCCTATAAAACATGAAATTTTTGTTACTGGCAAGCAAGTTACTATAAGTTTTTCTGAGAATAGCAACTCTGGGCTCTGCAAAGTGTAGAAACTCGGTCTGAATGTCCCCAGATATTTGTGGTACTGGAGGAGTGATAGACTGAAAAGAGGATCCATGTGCTATTTTATTGAACAGTTTAGAATCAGGTGCTTTGCAAAGGGCTCAGGATAGGAAGATGCATAAAACAGAACTCCTAGCTAGGCATGGTGGGGCATACCTGCTGTTGTGGCTTAGGGTTTTTGCAAGGGGAACAATACAATACAGGACACATATTAGAAGAGTATTGTATAATGAGTATTGTACAATGCATCACCAAAGAATCATATACGAATGCAGGAAATCTGTCCACATAAAGACTCTAGAATCCAGCTGAGGGCCCGAGTCTCACAGCAGTTCCCTGCATGAGTCGAACTGTAGACCTAGAGCTCATAACAATGCCTTCCACAAGTCCAGTTGGAGGCCTAGAGCACATGACAATGCCTCGTGCAGGCCTGCCTTATGGATCTGCACTGGAAAGGCTCAAAGGTCAGTGGTGGAAGCTAGGAAGTCTATGCTAGTGTGCTAGCAGGCCGAGGGATCAGAACTAGAGCTAGAGCTAGAACGCAATGCTCAAAGTAAGAACCAGAGCCATCCTTAGCAACAGTCAGGTCCTGAGCTATCCAGCAATGAGGAAAGGTGAGTTTCCATCAGGAAAGCCAACAGAACAAGCTTTTCCAGGAGGCTGAGCAGTGCACCATCTTACCCTCTGGAGCCAGGAAGTGATGCTCAAGATGAGGGCCAGAACTTTCCCAAAATGACCTCAGCCATTCTCAGCAGCAACTCAGGTCCGGAGCTTCTCCTCTGACAAGAATGGCCAAGTTCATTAGGAAAGCCAGAATGACAAGGGCCTCTAGCAGAACAGCCCAAGAGAACCAGTAGCTTCCAAGAGCTTCCTCGCAGCTTCTCCAGTTCTGCCTCTTATGCTTCTGGGAACAATCCTCAGGTGCGCCTCCCACCCAGCACCACGCTCCTTCAATTCTGCAGCTGGGTGTAACAAGTTGACCACCAGTTAAACAATCCATTACACTTGTAATTCCAGCACTAGAGAGGTTGAGCCAGTAAGATTGCCACAAGTTGGAGGCCAGCCTGGATTATGAAATGAGTTCAAAGCTAGCCTGAACTGCATAGTGAAACCCTGCCTCAAAAAGACAGGTGGAGAAACAAACAAAAAAACAAAACCCCCCAAACCCCAAAACCAGAATTCCTTATTCGAGGAGTTCTAGCAGGGGTTATCAAACTTTCCATACTAGTATAACCCCTAGTTGGTGTACATTCTTTCTTTGGCTTATGATTGCTCTATTATGAAATTCAAGACAAAAAAATAGTAATTGCCTTAGAATAGAAATTTTACAATTCTTCATGGCTTTGTGAGCAGTGGCTCATTTCTCGACAAAACAGAGATGTTACTACTCGTCTAAAGTTTAAAATAAGAAAAGTTTGTCCCAGCCACAAAGTTCTAGTTAAAAAAACAATCTATGAGGCTAAACAAAGCATTGAATTTCATCTCTTCCCAAAGGCTGCATCAAAGTCAAAGAGCGCTGGACCAAGGAGGCCCGGAGGGCTGAACAGCACCGGTAAAGGAGAAGGAAGACCTTGGGGCTCCCATCACCTCCA